CTTACCTTCCCAAGTACCTTCAGGCGCTCCGAAAATTTCAGTATGCTTGCTCAAGGTTATGCTGCTGGCTGCCGTACACTTGTTTGGAAATCTTCTTCTGCCGGGTCTTCAGAAGGCCGCCGTCAAGAGGAGAATGTCGTCCGTAACCCCCTCACTTCGAATCTAGATTTCCCTAACTTGAAAGCTTCGGAGCCATCGAAGCAGTGTGCTTTTATTGCAACATCCTTAGCCCCACACAGCAATCCTATTCCGAGCTGTCCGCACAGCACCCTCTCCAAATTTCAACTCATAGAAGTGAACCTGCTCAAACCACTACTTTGACGCCTTCACTTCAAACCTTTAAAAAAAAGGCCCGAGTCCCATCAAAATACAATGGCCGTGCAAGAAAGAGAATGAAATGGGCTTTCCAACGATATGCAATAGTACAGCAATCGTATGGAAATTTCTCGGAAAAATATCAAATAAAGTATGAGACATTGAAACCGGCTAATAGGATCACCCGGAATGCTAATCTTGAATAACCTTGACAATTGAACACTTAGAGTGCAACAGTGCAAGCTGCTACCCTATCTACACACATGGTGCAAACTGACCCTTTTCATTTCTGATCCAGTCATTTATTGCCGGATTTGTTGATTCAAATGAATAAACCCTCTTTTATCATCGATAAGACAAACCTTGCATAATGAGGACATTACGAACGTTACAAAGTTACAATCTGCTAATAAGTGCAGCGGACAGTTACGTGACAATTTACTACAGCTATATCCCACTGTAAGACAATGTTGATAGTTACCCCAACGAGATGAGTTAGACATTGAACAAGCACCAAACATTATTGGCCGACGAAATGCTAGTTGTAAAACGTTCACCGCAGAATGTAGTTTGTACACTGAGTTAAGCCATACGGTAATTAATCAAGTTACAATAGCTCCACTTTTGAGCATAACGTTGTGTACTTGTCTCATGTGCACCTCTACGTGATCTTGGAAGCAGTTGTAGTTCTTTGGCGAGATCTGAAATTATTACAGTTCAAATTAATGCAAACAAATATCTAGAACGATGCTCTCATTGATAATGACGTGCTAGGTCGGGCTCACACTCAGCAAGCAACGATGGCGAAGACGAAATACAGGGTATGGGAGAAAATTGCAGCCGCTGTAAATGGCTACATGAACCTCAACATGATAGTGAACGACTTATTCTGCTACACTCTTCGCGATATTGTTGCGTGGACTTTTAATAGCCTGACGTTTCGGCGAGATCGCCTTTTAAGATCAGAAGTTCAGTACGCTTCGCGAGATGCCTTGTTCAGATCAGGGTTACAAGAGATGACCTGAAAAGTAGTGGCCAACAACCACACATCAGGCTGGGACCTTATATAGCTGGCCATTTGAGTAATATTTGTATCAAGAAGCCGAACAGCTCGCTACACTCCATATCGAGGGAGGCGAGAGGCGCACGAGGGCGTACCAGCCGGCCGACAACGGGAAGATGGAAGATTGCCCTCTCCCAGTGACTGAGCAGTGTCTGAGCCCTCCGTCTTGCCGCCTGCACTCTTCCGCAAGCACGCTATCTCAACAGTACGACGCAGCCTTTCCGTCGTCCATATCCGAAACCATGAGGCCCAGAGTGTTCCAAATGATTGATATACGTTTCCATAGGTTACACATGTAATATTCAATAAATATATTGAAACACATATGCGCTGCATTTTCTAACTTCCACACTTTCACTGAATACTTAATTTATTCAACTCCTTTTATAAGGACGTCGACAGCTCGTCCGCACCCTCTAGCGTTCCCAAAGAAGTGAAAGGAATGGAAGATAACGACAGAGGCGTATGCTCTTTGACTCTACCGTTCTCACCCCATCCTTCGGTTCCTCTACGTGAACATTATCTCACTCGGTGCCCTTAACGGGCACAAAAAGGCGATATCTAAAACGACTACCCAACAAAAGAGTACAATTTCAAATCACACACCATTTGATGGATTTCGTTGATAGAGTCGTTTAGAGCAGTGAGATCCACTGGAGTCATTTTCTGTTGTCCTAGCGAGCGAATCTAAATCATCAATTCGTTTATGAATACCATCACTAGCCATATTTATACTACCAGCCGCGGGACCACCCTGCCCTGCTTACGCTCCACATCTTCCGTTGGGCTCATCTCCAACTGTGAGAGCAACGTCGTGAAGTGGATGCGGTCGCACAAAAAAGGATGTCATGTATGGTAGTGGATGTTATTGCACCCTAACTTTTACTTCTGAATGGTTAAGGTTGATCTGCTCTCCCCACCCCACCCCCTTTCCAACCTCTTCCGCTGCCCTCCAGCTGACGTCGCAGCACTACGTTTGATGACCCTGTGCGTACTTATATAGCAATTAGAAGGTGTTATCACAATCGAAACATCACGAAATATTGATTCAACTCCTGTGAGCTCCCAATTTTGTCATTGGTTTATCCCAAAGACCTTATAACATCTAAAATGGGAGGGAAAGTTTGCGGGCGGACAGCAAATATACACAAACACACATAACATAACGGAACACCATGTTTTTAATTACAAGATGGAAGGGGTGATACTCTCCAAGAACGTTGAGACCATCACACAAACCTGAAGGAGAAGTGACGTTAACGCTGTTATGAGGCGTAGGGCTTGAGGATTAGTAACGTTCAAACTCTGGTTGCAATGTTTCACTATTTGATTGGCATGAGAAGCGCACATCCGACGCAATGCCTCTGGGCGAGCACTTATGCTAACCTGGAAGCACATATTCAAGAAAACAAACAATAGAAAGAAAAAAAAGTAGGCACTTCACCTCACTGAGATGCGGTAATAGTTGAGTGTTATATTCTTGAATGCCATTTAAGTAGATGTTAACCTGTCGATTAACCGTCTCCAGATCGACAACAGTCCGTGCGTATCGTTCCTGAGGGAGGTGGAAATGCTACTAGTTCATGGAAAGTAGTAATGTATTATAAATCGGAATTGCAATCTTATAGAGGGCACAAGGAAAAAAAAAAACATGTGAAGTTGAGAGGTCACAAGGCTGAATAGAGTGGATGCGATAAAACCTTGAATAATAGAAGGTGTATCATAAGACTGATGACTCCAGGTAAGCGAGTTTACCAAATATATTCGATAAAACACGGGTAAAGTGGTGAAGAGGCAAGTGATGCTGCTTGCATGATCGGGACCAAATCCTCGATCGCACACCGTTTAGGCAAATCAAGCCTTCCATCCGTGGGGTATCTAGTAAGAGACCTTTATGAGATGATAAACGCACTGATTGAAAGGTGCCCCTGCAGCTCGTCATCGCATATAGCTTCGAAAGGCAATTGTATCGCCCATACCGCATTAATGCAACTATGATCTTGAATGGAAAAAGATTGCGTGGAAATAAAAGAAGGGAAATGACCGAGGCCCAAATCACTAGCTTGATCCTCTTTCCATTTTTCATTTGCCACGACAGTTGCTCACTAGTACCCAAAACTGCTTACATACTTTTTAATTCGATAGTTACTATAGAGAGGCAAAGCAAGTTATACGAGGCTTACTTGAAAAACAGCTGTGTAGACATCGGTGAGGATGCTTTCCTTCTCTGCTTCGTTGTTCAATTCGGTCAACGTTTTCACGAGCTTCTTTTTGATCTCCAATAGTTTGGCAACTTTCACCAAGATAACTAGCATGCGCACGGGAAAGTTCCCAACCTTTTCGTCTATAATAGGGTTGGAAAAATACATGCGCCTAATACAGCAAACGGTATTGTAGATAACACTTTAAAGAGAATGATGAAAATATAAAACTCACGATTCACATCAGCCGACTTTCTCAGTCTCGTAGTATGAGGGATAGGAACTGTAAAAGGTAACTCGACTACAATGATAAGAGAAAATTCTGTGAAAATGAAGTTTGGGGAGGGGGACTTAAAGCAATCCTTTCAGCTCTCTAACATTAATGATAAGATATTTATTAAAGGACCCTTTTAATGTGCTCTCTTGATAAAGATCGGTGTATGCACTACATCCCACACATCCTGTTCCATTCCGAGTAACTTTGGCACCTGTTCCACCTTCCCGGCGATACTCCATCCATAGGTTTAGGCCAGGTTGCCCATTCCTCTGGTCAAGACCAATTCGACTACTGCAGGCCAGGAAGCACCTTAGGGAGCACTTCTACACAACACCAGTACCTATCAGAAGAGCATGTCAAGCGTCAACCATGTCATGACCGCTCTTGTCCTTCTCCTTACTATTGAAGAGCAAAATGGAGTGTCCCCCTCGCACTCCAATTTCACCGAAAACGTATAAGAAAGCATGTGCTCACCAGTGCGAGTTGAGTTCATAGTGGGCAGTCGAGCACTATTTTGTTGCAGGAAGTAAGAAAGTGAGAGTAGTTCCAGTGACCCATCGTACATAACTTCATAGTCGGGTACAAACGCTGGTGGAATCATGTCCTCCTGTAACGGATACTTCTGCTCATTACTATCATTACACAGAATACTTCATTTTGAATTTCCTTCCACTATCCAACCGTAAACTAAACTCTTCTAGAAGATATACACAATCACTGCGACATTCCGTCAAGGATTCTCTGATATAACAGAAAAGTCAATTACGCCACAAAATCTTTTATAAACAGCGCAGAAAATAGATTATCATCAAGGCGGAAATCCATGGACTACTTCAAAAAAATTATATTTGCAAAAATAGAAGTTCCAAGTTATCCAACTGCAAAATTGCAAACCTTGTCGAAAACAATTCTGTATCCTCCTCCACCAGAAACCAATGCATCAATGGTACCACCGTAAATTCCATCTTTAGGAGCTCGTAGTCTAGCATACACCTAAACGAGGATATTCAAAAACTGCATTGTTTCGAGTTTCAATAGACATCCTCTTACACACCACACCATATTTATATGGTTATCCAAATCGGGAAACGAACTTCGAATTCATATTTCTTCAAATGCAACGGGTGCAGAGCATGAACTGGAAGCGGACAGCAGGGAACATTCGCGACAAGATGCTATTCTCTGCTGTGTGCTTCAGTTCACGCTCTGCAAGGCGTGTGATAGTAAGTGCTGGAAGAGAATGGGCTCCGGCTGGACCTTATGAACTAATTTCCTTACAGTTACTGCGAAGTTAGAGTCGATGGTGGATGGCCATGGTGAAATCAGCACAAAAATCAGCAGACCTCTTGAAGAGCGATATTGTCGCTGATGGTAACGTGGAATGAGATGCCAAAGGCTCGAATAAAAAAAATTAAAGGTTCATGGACGAAGAGCAGGAAGTGAACCGGCATCCTCTGCGAACACATTGCTCTAGAACGCTCAGACAAGGTGTACTGAACAGTGGAAAACGCTCTCAATAGTTTACAGCAGGAAGACCTGGCTCATAAGCAACATGCGGAACAGGGTCCACTCTGCTGAAGTAAGGATGCTAAAATCGGGTAGCTGCATGTGACTGGATGGGTTCAGGAAGAAGAAGCCAAGGCGCTCATGTGAAGTACGCGGCTCCCCCACTTTCTTCACGATTTGGGGCGCGGCCGCGGCGAGCGCGGACGAGTTGGATAGTGCCCGCGAACTGTGCGGGTAGGTTTGAAAACACTCCATCAGTCCCCCTCCCCCTCTTTCTTTTTTTTCTCCTTGCCTCTATCGAGCAAGAACTGGGGACCGCGGCGCATTGTCCTCTAAAGCCCTGCAGAGTTTAGGTGAACATGTAAGGGACCACACTCCATGGCTCATTTCAGCGCGTCACTAGCAACAGTTCTCTTTCTACCTGAAAATGGTGGAACTATAAACTGCGATAACGGCGCTTGTACAATATTCAATCTCAGAAGGGTGACACATAATTCAACTTCATTCGATAGATATTTTAGTGGTGTAGAAAAAAACGTGGAAAATACTTAAATGGGAGCACTCAAGAATTTTGGTTTAACAGTGTTCAAAAAAAAATCAAAGTTTCACATCCAGGTGTTTCCAACTCCTAAATGTTTTCGTACGTATGGGTGTTGATGAATCGCCCGATGTGAACACTACCAATTTGTGGAAATAGAAAGATTGGTTATTCATATTGCAACACAATGAAATTTTCACAATTGACACCCTACAACTAGAAGATGTGTAGCAAACTCCAGATTTGAGAGAAGGTAAACAAAAAAGAACTATTACCTTCATACCAACGACCAAAGGAGCAGGAAGATTCGGTGGCATGTCACTCAAATCACAATTTGCAGTGGATGTGAAAGAACCATCGTATATGCTGCGCACTTTTCTTCTTCTTTGATCCAAAATTTGTCGCTCCTCTTCGAAAAACGTTGTCGAGCAACGGCGCGGTTTTCCTGTATAGGTTCTTGAGTTACTTTCACTCAAATTTGGGAAAAACAGTCGGCAACGTGGAAGTTAGCCAAACCGCAATGCAGGCTTACCTAGCAGGCGTCGTATTACACGCCATTCCTGCTTGTTCATAAGCATGGTCTTCAGATTTGGGAATGCCTCACGAATCAATTGACCAAACTCGTTGTCGCCAAGAAAGAGCTGCTCATCCACACCGGAGTAAAAGAACTCACATATGACCCACCGACGAGCCTATGACAATTCTTTGAAAACTTTCGGATTTCTAGCTTACAATGACTCTTAGGTAGAAACTTTCTAACACATATTGCTGAATATTTCTGCCCTTAAACGCCGTCTGATTCGCTTTCCCCACAACACTTAAACCATTGCTGGAGATTAAGACCACATCGTGCTTATAGCTAAAGAAGTTCAACCTGCTGCTAAAAAAGGAACGAAGGAGAGCCTCTATCGCTCCATCTGAGAGCGATTAAACTTTGGGAGTACGACCAAGTCAAACCAATTTAAAAAATTCTATCTGCCTCCATTCTCTAGCAGCAAAAAGGAATTAACATCTGTGGAACTCTTACGGTAAGAAATCGGAGAACAAAAAGGTTTAGTTGTCCACATGTAAAGTACGCGATGACACTTCTAAATACTGACTACCGGAAATTGTATTACGTGCTCCGCTATCTGGAATTTCTACCGTACATACTACGGTGCGGTGCAAATTAGATATGCCTGGTGAAGTCCCAATAATAGTTCTCGAATTAGAAAAGCACTTTACAATGAATGCGTTCAATGGAACAGACTTCATTGTTTTCAGATCAAACTATATGGTGTGCCCAATAACATGTATGCATCTACTAAGTGTCGAAAGACTGATCCGAACGACTCACCTTGGGAAGCTTCAGCAGATTTCGTATTCGACGCAAGCTTTGTTGAAGCTCGGAACCAATCTCGTTCTGAGATTTGTGACTGAAAAGTGAGAACTATGACAAACGAATCCAAAATGGCACAAACTGTTTGCTGTCATGAAGAAGAAATTCACACTTATCATTATGAGATGGTAACGTGTTCAAATTTAATTCAAATTTTTGCTCTGAGAGAATGCGCAAATTTTGCCGTTCGACTGATCACCACACTATAATAAATACACTTTCAAACATAAGTGACGTCCTTCGTTGCCATTTGACAAGCGAGAACAGTAGACGTTGCAACTTAATCATTACCTCGACAATAATCCTCAACACGTACACTTCTGGCTTTTTGTGTATTTTTGTTCCAAGTACGAGGATTACGTACAAACACGTTTCTCATGACCACAGTCATCGGGCCCAGCGAAAAATGAGTACTACGCAGCATTGGCTTTTCTTGCACAATGACCGTTACAATTGCACGATTTCATTTACAGGGCATGGATTGCCGTCCATTCCACGCGTGCAGCTTTGCCTATGAGCGGGCTACCCACCGTTCCTCTTTAACCCATTCGCGACCGCGCAGGATTGCGCAATAGCAGCAGCGTCAGGAGATTTTTCTTCAATAAAATTGAGTGGAGGGAGATTTCCTCTGCCCAGGGCTGGCGTAGATGAGCGAGGGTATGAAGATTCTTTTCATGAAAGAAAACTTTCCAAATTCCATTTCAAGCCCTGCAGCCACAGTAATGCCATT